ACACACACACACACACACACACACACACACACACACACACACACACACAGACAGACATGTTCCGATCTCGTCGAGCTGAGTCGAATGGTATGTGACACTCGGCCCTCCGGGCCTCGGATCGATAGTCGGTTTTTCAAGTGATATCTATACCGTTCTTTGTAAGAAGGGTAAAAAGATATAATTTTTTGAAAATTCTTCGTTTTTCAAATTTTTGATTAAGACACTTTTTTTAACAGTGTATATTTTTCAAATAACTGCATTATGATTTTGCTCAATATTGCTTTCTTTCATTTTTGCAATGTATTTATTTAAAAATAAATTTAAACGTGGAATAGCTGGGTACGGGTATTGCTTGCATCTTATCCGATTCAGAAAGTTATGATTTTGAGCATCAAGACAAGCTTTTTGGCGAATTTCTTCATAACACATAATAACACATAAAGCGTGAAGTAAGGAAATTGGATTGTTAGCGGAATACTTAAATAAATCAGAAAAAAAGTGTTACCTTCTATTTAATTTTACCCATATTAATTTAGGTATCCATAACAGATACAGTGTATCTCAAAATTGATCGTACAACAGTACTTAAATTTTAGAAAAACGGCTCTAAAAGCACAATTTAAAAAGATTTGTCTCTGAATTTTCGGCAGCGTACTCAGCATACATTTATCAATTATTCGCTCAATATTGGGCATATTTGGTTGAAGACTAAGCTAAGCTAAGCTAAGCTAAGCAATATTGGGCATATTTGGTTGAGTTTACAAAAAGTTAGAGTAATTTAAGAAAAACGCCTTTTTCTTGAAAAACTTATTTTCTTGATATAAAATGATCAATTATAATTTTACTATAAATCGTCCAATAGGTGAAAAGTTAAAAATTGAGCGTTTTACTCAAAAAATTCTAACTTCATACAGGCTCTTCCAATGAAAACCAAAACTGTAGCAATAAATCAATGTACATCTGTTCAACCACCAGCCACGATTTAAAAAAAAAATATATCTATTCACCATGCTTCTAAAAATTGTCCTATAGGGTGTACGATCAATTTTGAGATACACTGTACGTATTTCGTACAATGTACAGTCTTCATCAGTGTCATTCTTACTAAAGACTTAAACCTAACCTAATTGTGCGAGAGTGTTGTCTACAACCGTGCATCGAGCTAAAAAACGAGTCGGACTGTCAACTTACAAGAAGGTAGTGACTCTTAATCGCGACGATAAACGTAAAAAGACTTCAAACTTTATAGAAAATAGTTTTGTTATGGTTTATGGCATGTAATAACCATTAAAGAAACACTATTTTCTACTGTTACAGTTTCTGGTATGTTCCAGCTTAATTTTGTTACGGTTGATCAACTATACTGAACTGTTACAAAACATTACGAATAAAAGTTGTAAACCAGTTGTTCAACGCTTACGTGTCTCGATTAGGGTTGCTTTATATTTAAACACTCCTCACCATCCCTCTCCAAAGGGGAGTTTGGTAAAGAGAGATGAAAAAACCGATTTGTACCTTCCTTTAAAGTTGTCCTAGCTCGCTTTTCTAATATCTATATGCAATCTTCACACTGCCGTACTCTAACGGAACTATCAACTCTAGATAAACATTTCAAAACGTCCTATATGCATTGATAGATTCTCTTCATCGACTTTCTTTTTCGTTAATAACTAAGCTGCAAAACATTTCCCTGTTGTATTTGACGTTCTGGACGCCAGATAAGAACTTCCTTTATCAAGCTATGTGGTAAAATTAGCGAAAAATCTGTTTGCATCGCAGTGGCTATCAAAAGAGAAAGTCGATGAAGAGAATCGATCAAAGCAGATAGGACCATTTGAAATGTTCATCGAGAACTCTATGCTTTCATCTACTCCATCTATTGTATAAAAATTACCACTACAGTCTGTTATTTGAAATTAACATCTTCAACTATGTAAATCGTTGACTTCACGTAGAAGTAATACTAAAACATATAGTCAAAGCATCATTTCATGTAAAATTAAGTGTTCTCAAACCGAAACATACGCAAGTCGACGAAGAGAACGTTTGATTGAATTGATTTTCTTGTTTCTTTCAACTGATTCTTATGTCAAAAAGGTCGCTTACATGTGTCGGTCTCAGGGAACCGAAATTTACATGACATTTTCGTAGTACCTTATTCGAACGTTAATGGAAATAGGTTTCACATACCCAACTTGAACCTTTTCTGATGTGGTTAGGCTATAGCTCCTTAGCAAAAAATGTATGGGAAAAAGTTAGATTTCGTATGGTGAACGTTCTTAACCACTCCATTACTCGTATGGGTACGTCTAGTAATCCTATATATAGAGATTCGCGGAAGTGGCCATTTTAGACCAAATGAAGCAGCGAGAAGTGTCAAATTGTGAGCCAAACGAGCATTCTGATTAGAAAATATTTAGAGGATTTCTTATTGAGTTGAAAAGTATTGTAATCGGGAGGAAATAAATTCAAACTAAAAGCAAATATGTAAAAGCAAATAGCAGTAAAATGCGTATGACAAGAGATAGTTATATGCATAATTAACAATTATATAAAACATTGTGAGTGGATATTTTATAGATTTTTCAGTTCGAATAAATAATATTGCTGATTGCATCTGCAACAGGACAGTCCCAATAATTCAAAAAGTGTGATAAATTGCACAATTTTAACTAGATACCACCAAATAACTATCATTGTTACATACACTGCACGAAAGCATATAATCTACTAGGGAAAAATCCGACGGTAGTCCGACATTTTTTGCGAAGTTCAGCGTTTTCAGTGGAGTGGTGTTGAGTACTTGGCACTGATGAAGTCTGCAAGTAGTAGACGAAATACGCGTATTTGTCAAAAGATAAGAAATTATAACGGAATGTGAAGGAAATAAACCAACCCACTCAAAGCTCTTCATAAAGGGATTCCGTTAAGAGGTTCGACAAATTAAAAGGATCAAAATAACTTGTCAATTGATAGTGATCGCCTCCGCACCACTTAGGTTTTCACCACTGATCTACACGGCCAATAAGATCAACCGAAATTTGAGATTAATTTACTCATACATCGCAAAAAGTGCAGGACCTCAGCGATGAGTAAATTTTCCTATTTTTTCCAATTTTATCCAGGAAAAAAATCCAGAATATGAGTAAAGTTAACTCAAATTTAAAATTTATTATACAAAATTAATAGTACCTATTGTTACAACCCCCATAATCGTAAACAATAAAAGGATGATCCACAGTATCATTACGTACCATAAATAAGTATATCCGGACGATTCTAGTCAGCGTGTATAAAAATGATAAGCATATAATACCATGAATTGTCCTGAGGATACCATATATTGTAATATGCAAAACTATATGGGATAACGGCGGTTAAGTATAATTACCATTCCATAAGGTTGATATTTTAGAACAAAATTTCAGGTTTACTGTAAGACATATAGCTTTTTTATAATCAATTTTAAAATCATAAAACTATATGTCATAACATTCTGGAACATTTGGATTATTAAATTTGGTTTTTAAAAGGAAAGTAAACGTTATACTCTGTAAATAGTTCATTGAGGTAATTTAACATTATGGTGTATTTTCAAGTTATATTCAAACGAATAAATTCTGCAAGGGCTTACCATATCCCATATAGTTTGTATTTATTCCTTTTTCTTCGATCAGGGACTATGACTGATCTTAACCTTACAACTACTGACAGTATGGTACCATTATTTAAGTGGTCTGCTAGTATAGTGGTACCATGTTGACAGTAGATGTGAGATCGAATTCAGCCAAAGCTAACGATTCATTGTGTGTAAAAACAATTTATTTCATTGGCAATAGTGTTTGATTCTGTGGGAATTCAATAAAAAACATTGTAGCAACCATAAATCTTATAGTAAAAAACAATAAAAAAAAAACCATTAGAAATTATTGTTATGCACAATAGAATATATTGTATTTGAGGCTTTTACTATAGAAAAGAGGGGTGGATAGCTACCGTGATAACATATAATTTATTGTAAACCTATTGTTGTCATTTGACCAATACAATACAGCTACAATAGGGTTGGCAATAATAGAACCTATTGTATTTTATTGATATTATAGTTATTTGTATCCGAGATGGTGTGATTTTCTAGAAGATTTTAGAGGTTTTCCACAGGACTGAACTCATATTTGGGTTCATCTCATTGACCGTGGATCATGTTTAGAAAATCGGAAATACCAACGGCTTTGCTTCGCTTCCGAAGGAAGACTTGATCAGAGATTTTATGCCTTAGAAAGTCCCGGTGGCACCGACTGGGGTGAAAGGCTATCACGATTACAACTAGACCACTGGCGCCGTTACCAGCTCTAGTTATGAGCATTTGAAAAAGAGTTATGTAAAAAAATTATCAATTTTTCCAAATACTATCAAGTACCAATATTGATTAAGCACTTTTTTTTAAATCATGGCAAATAATATACTTTTTGCAACAACTATGTGATGCGGACTCACAAACATTCGACCGTCGATGTATTTAATACATACACACAATCCCTCTCATTGTGCCAGGTGCTAAATCAAACAATTACCCACCTTTGTACTCCACTGAATATTATCCAGTAATCCGATTAAAATGGACGCTTTCCCACAGTTTTCATGCGATGCCTAGCTCTGGCTTTGGGTCGAAAAATCTGTGACTGTGAGATCAACTTTTACTCAACACTCATATATCCGTACACACGCTTTCGTGTTTGCACTAAGCTCCACTTGGGTCCGGTAGCTATTTTCTCGCATGATCAAATTATTTGGACTTTTGTTTACCTTGTCTGGCAAATAGCGTTTTGTTTTTCTACACCACAGCAGCCACCCCCTGCACAAACACTCCCATCGAAACACGCTTTGGCGCCACACTATTTTATTTATCACCATCTCTCTATCCTCTTTTTTCGTCTCGTTCTGTAATCCTGCCTCCTCCTGCTACTGCTGCTGCTGCTGCTCATCCGATGCTTGCACAGGTGGACTTTTGCGCCAATGACCCGTGTCCGGATGGCCATCGCTGTATAGATCACGGGGACGACTTCTCCTGCGAGTGTCCGGGCGGACGCAACGGACCGGACTGCAATCAGGTTCCCAGAACGGTAAGTACGCATTCATCATCACCCGTAGTGTCACACACACAGAGACCAAACGACGACGACTGTGTTGATGTTGGAATGAAATGCCAAAAACTTTTCATTCTATCGCTTCACGGTATGCTGAAAACTTTTTAAACCATTTCCATTCGGTTCATAATGAGATTACCATCGGCTCGGAGGAAACCTTTATAGCAGTTGGTATGGTGGGTTTGACGCAATAGATATTTCCGAAAGCTCGCCGGTTGATTTCAACTTTTTCATGGAATTGAAAAGTAGATTTTCCCATTGAGGAATAGAAAAAAAAAACTATCCATAGAAAATCCCAGAGTTTGAGTTTTTCAGATCCAATTTACTGTGGGATTTCATTTTAAGGACTGAATCGAAAATAAGTTGCAATATTTTTCTTTCGAAATCCATAAAAAATATAAAAAAAAAGTTTTTAATAATGTATGGTATGTTTTTTTTTAAGAAGTTAACTTCACAAAAACAAATCTATTCTCTTAGGTACTTTATGATCTAAAATTTTGGTCGTGTTATAACTATTGGACAGTGTGACAAAACAGGGTTTAGGCACTTTTTGTACAAATCGTAAAATATTTTTAGTACTTGTTTCATGATCTAAGTAGCTTTAGAATCTATGTTAAGAGCAACATGACACACATAATAGATGAACATTTTTTTTATTAAAACATACCTTTTTAAGGATTTCGGAGGACAATTTTGCTTAAAACTTATTTTCAATGCAGTCCTTATTGAACAGAGTGTATTATCTATTTTAAAGTTTATATTCTAAAATACTGAAACAAAACATTTGAATCAAAGTTCTTCTGAACTGTTCTAAAGTAAATAATCTTTTTTTTTCTGAATTAAAACGTTTTAAACTACACTAGTGTTCCATTTTTCGGCCACAGAAAAATAGTCTTGTGATATCCAATGGGAACTGTTACTCATGAGTTTATGTATAGTGTTAAAAATGTTTATGTATGTTTTTGGTGGTCCAACATGTAACAAGATATGACCTGCTGTACCATTTATTTTGTATGATAGAGCATTTTCACGCCATACAGCGAATTGGTTGGACTTGACTCTTTTCGAATTGAATAAAACTTTGCACACATGTTGGTTGCTACCCAAGATGGATTTTTCCATTTCAAAGTTGTCAATGTTTCCGAATTACATTATTATAATGGCGTATGACAATAATGAGTTATTTTTTGAAAAAAAAAATAACTTGAAATCGCAAGGGGCCATCAACTATGCACACTATGCGGAAGCACAGTGTGCAACACTGATTGGCACGTTAGGGCACACGATGACAACTACGACACAGAATAAAATATAAAGTTGCATCACTGCTTTGTGTTGACATTTTGCTAATAGCAAATTCGTTTATTATTCAGTTCCAACCTAGATCGGATATCAAGATTGGGTCTGCTTGTTTTCTGACAAACGTCAGTTTGATCGTTTGTTCTTAAGGTTCGCACTGACAAAAAAATCGGTTTCGCAAAAAAGTTGTGCAATCGACGAGACTCTCCGTGCTTATACCTTTTGGAGGATGGACCTCCAAAGAAAGTCCACATTGTATTTTATGGAACGATTCATGTTTTGGAGGAAAGTCAATCAAATTAGTCAAAGTCACCATGCTCATGTAGAATAGACCTGCTTACGTATTAACCCGTGGATCCGCCGAATCAGAACGCACTGCCTGTCGCCTCATGGAAGCCCCAAAGCCTCTCAACCCAGTCGTGCTTGCTGGTTCCTGTCATCGTAGTCGTTCTGGCCCTGTGGTTGAGAATGGTGGCGGGGTCTTCCAAGCTCTCAATTCAGGCAAGTTACCGAATGATCGCAACAATTCTCCGCCGGATTTCTTTACGAGTTTCAGCACCACACCTCGTATTCCCATTCAAGTTCCTGATACCAATCCTGGATGATATGAACGAAGCCTTCAACACTCCTGTGATGACGTCGCAATACCTGTTGTTCAAGATGTTTTGCCTAAAACGCCTGCCAATGTTTTCGCTGCTCAGCTTTCGGAACCGGGACGCATCGATCTTAGCAGAATGGAAGCCCCTAATCCTGTCATCACAGTCGAGCCTAACCTTCCAGCGACCTTCAGCCGTCCCGGCCTTGTGTATGATTTTGGAGATGGGGTCTTCCAAACTGCCTGCGCAGGCAAGCACAGTCACGTTTTGAACACTATCCGCACTGATAACCTTCATTATCACAGTACCATCACATCCAATGCAACACAGTCACCGACACCATGCCTTCCGGGACGTACAACGCCAAGTATTTTGGAAGCGTCCAAGCCCTCCTTCACAGTCGTGACCGTCCAGCCTGCGTTCAACAGCCGTCCCGGTCCTGAGATAGGATCTGGTGAGGGAGGCTTCCAGCTTGTGCAATCAGGCAATTCATCCATCGGTAGTCAACCATCGTCACTAGCCGAACAACGTACTTCTGCGCTTCAATCTGGATCACCTGGTGAACTGCTGATCTACTATCAAAACGTTCGTGGGTTACGTACGAAGATTGATGATTTTTTCCTGGCTTCTCTCGAGTGCAACTATAATGCTATGGTGCTTACCGAAACGTGGCTTGACGGTCGAATCAATTCACCGCAACTTTTCGGCAGCTTATTCACAGTATTTCGCAATGATCGTAGCCGTCTAAACAGCACTAAATCTCGTGAAGGTGGTGTACTCATAGCTGTTGCAAAGTGCTTAAATTGCTGTCTCGACCCTACACCGATCACTGCTTCGCTTGAGCAACTGTGGGTTAAGATCAAAACTACGAGCAGAACAGTTAGCGTGGGCGTTATTTACTTACCACCGGACCGAAAATCTGCATTGAAAACCACGTCAACTCAATTGGCGCAGCGTTATCTCGATTGGACAACAATGACTTGGCTCTATTACTCGGTGATTACAACCAATCCGGCTTTATTTGAAATGTAGACACGAACAATCAGCTGCCAACTGTTGATGTTCTTCGTTCAGGTATATCTACATCATGTGGCACTCTACTAGATGGTTTCAACCTGCATGGCTTAGCGCAAATCAACACCGTTTTAAATAGGAATGCTCGACTGCTTGACCTTGTACTGGCGAACGAGCTCGCTGTCCCGGAATGCTCGGTATCTGAAGCTGCAGATCCTTTGATAAGTCTTGATGCCGATCACCCCGCGTTGGAAACATCCATCAGCCTTCATGCTCCCATCAACTTTGAACCCACCGAAGATGTGCTAGGTCTTGATTTCCGCAAAGCAGACTTTCTTGCACTGACTCATGCGCTTGAACAAGTCGATTGGCAAATGCTTGAATTTCATTGGGATTGTCAACCGCTTAATCACTACTTGTGTACCATTACGAAGACCTCCTTAACAACCCGCTTGATCAAATGCTCGACTCCGTCACCTCAAGCGACTGCGATCAGCAGCCCTTCGAAAATACTGTCAAACACGCACCGCTCTCACAAAACGATGGTTCTCTCGAGCTAGCAACAACTATCGGAAGTATAATCGGTTTCTCTACAAACGGTATACTAGGTGAATGCAGCACAACCTTCGCACCAACCCTAAATTGTTTTGGTCGTTTGTCAACACTAAGAGAAACGAAGTTGGCCTTCCTACGGAAATCTCTCTTGGAGATAGACATGCGCGCACTCCATTCGAGAAATGTAACCTTCTGGCAGAAGTTCTCAAAACCTACAAAAGCTCTATACATCATTTTGCGGAATGCTGTTGAAAAAAAAAGTTAGAGTCAAATGAATGTAAATGAATGCACGAAATTAATACACATGATTTTCCATGCCTGGGCAGAACACTTCAGACACGCCTTCAACGACACAACTGCCTCAGCGGATCAAGTGAACGCGGCAACCAGAGACACGCCAAATGATGTGTTTCGTTTCGACATCTTTGAGATACCCGAGGAGCTAGTGGAGTCTGCCATTAACAAGATTAAACATTCGATTTCTACTGGTCCTGATGGGATTCCCGCATGTATCCTGAAGAAATGTTCCTCCGCACTTACTAAGCCATTAACGAAGTTGTTCAACCTTTCCCTGCAGCAAGGTGAATTCCCTAGGAGTTGGAAATCCTCCTTTATGTTCCCAGTATTCAAGAAAGGAGAAAAGTGCAAAATTGAAAACTATCGCGGAATCACTTCACTCTGTGCCTGCTCTAAAGTGTTTGAAATAATCATTAATGACGCCCTATTTGCAAGCTGCTGTAGCTATAGTTATCCGGACCAGCATGGGTTCTACTCTAAGAGATCTGTCTCTACAAATCTAGCACCATTCGTATCCTCCTGCCTTCGGAATATGGAAGCAGGAGCACAAACAGATGTCGTCTATACGGATTTGAAGGCTGCCTTTGATCGAGTTGATCATGCTATCCTGCTAGCTAAACTGGATAAGCTTGGTGTGTCACAGGGCTTCATTCGTTGGTTCAAGTCTTACTTGACAAATCGAGAGCTCTGCGTGAAAATCGAAGCAGCACAACCAAACTCTTTCACCAATACATCCGGTGTCCCTCAAGGCAGCAACTTAGGACCGTTGCTATTTTCAATCTTCATTAACGAGATTGGATTGATTATTCCGGCTGGCTGTCTCTCTTTCTATGCAGATGATGTTGAGATTTATGTTGTAGTTCGAAGCCTTACTGACTGTTTACAGTTACAGCATTTTTTTTTTTTTATCTAGTTTGTTTATTTGGAAGGCTCAATCGCGTTAGCTTTACGGAGCCGATAATTCATTGTTCACTGTGTGTAACAAAATTCACTTAATTCTATGTCTAGTAGGAGTTGGGCCGATTACTCGCGGCTTACTCGAGGTTAGAAGGGTACATTTTCGAAGGATAGGATCAGGGGAGGAGCTTGGGGTAGGGTTTTGTTGTCTCATCAGAGCGTTGTCGCCAGTATGAACGGTAGTGCTGTTCTAGCTTCGTCCGGAGTTCGACCGGCTATGATGACCAGTGGGCGACGATGAGACTCATCGAGACGGGG